AGAGGCGGCCATAGCTTTCGCAGCCTTTACCTCTTTGTTCTTCCGGTCAAGTGGCTTGCGAAGGCCGTTCACTCGGAGCAGGGCCTAAGTAAAAAGGGGAACAGGCGTCAGTTTCCAAACAAAAAATAAAACATGCATCCTGGAATTCAAATACTCAAAAATATGCTAAGTATACCTCAGCAAGGACCCCTGCAATCCCGTCTAGGTCAAGGGTGCCGACACCCCTGACCGCTTCCCTTTCAGCTGGAGGTACGGCTTTGATCATAGACTTGGCCACTTCGACCAAGTCAGGCTCCTGAGGGCCGGCTGCATCAAGAGGAAACAAACAAGTTAGCCCTAGTAAAGAAAGGAGCAAGTCTAAATTCACAAAGACAGCTTCATACTTCTAGGCGGCCCAGCTGGAGTTTTAGAAGGAGCGGTCGGCTGCTTCTCAGCCGCCGCCTATTTCCTGGCAGAACCAGGAGAGCTCGCAACAGTCGTCCTCCGGGCCTTGGAGTCCGGCTGTTGTGAAGAAAAAGCTCTTGGAGTGCCCGTCTAAAAAAAGAAGAAAAGAGTCAGTATATGCATAAAACACAACTCCAAAAAGAGTGAAAAGTTTCGAAGCTGACCAAGGGTGCCCCCTTGTTGGGGGAGTCGGTTGAAGACTGCTGCATGATGGAGGCCCGCAACATGGCCGCCGCAGTCTTGGAGGCGGTAATTTTGCTCATGGCGTCCGCTGCAACAACAAATAGCAAAGTTAATAAAAAGTCAAAATAATAATGCATGGAAAAACAGAGTATTTGACAGGCCGGCTACCTCTTGAGCACCGACTGCTGAGGCCACAGGCGGCCAAAAAGTACTCGTCATAGAGCCATTTGAAGCTCAGGACGCAGTGCAGGGGTACTTGCTCTCGTACCCCTGAAGTAGAGTTCACCCTAGACTCTACTCTGAAGAGTCCTTTGTCTAGGATCTCTTTTTTAGCCTTGGGGGAACAGGCGGCATGCTGCGGCCGCCTGCAAGAAGAGGCGGATTCCTATTCCACTTGTAGAAGTGCTTGTTCAGCTCTGTGTCTGAACTCTCAATAATAAGGAAGGTGTTCCGCCAATCCTTCCACTTGTTTGCTTTGCCTCTCGTCATGAGGTAGCCCCTGTGGCTCGTCAATTGATACCAGCCGGTACCGCCTGACTTAGGGGTCCGGCTGAGATAGTTCATGTGGGCGAAAGCCTCGAAGTTTGGCTCCACCCCGTGCAGTTCGCACCCGGCCACATAGCCGAGTACGTTGACCCAGGAGTTTGGGGCTAACTGCCATAACCCCAACCCATACCCATCCAATAACCGCTGAACAGCCGGATGTAGTGGGAAGCGCAGCCCAGCCTTGATGGCTGCCTCGTAGCAGCCAAAGCAGGCGCCATCATAGCTAGTACCAGCCGGCCAGACGACTGTGTCTTCTGGATCCGGCACGAACACTAAAAAGCCGGGGCCCATTGTGTGGTTTGCGATAAAGCTCCCCACTTTCTCTTGCATGGCCGTGATCCGGCCCCGGGGTACCGTGAAGTAGTAGGGGGTATTTTGCTCTCGGTGAGAGGCGGATGGCTCCGCCCAATTGTCCCCTTCTCAACTGCATGAGAAAGCCTCGCCTCTTGTAGGCGACTGTTTTTCTCTTCTGTGTCCAGACAGGCATGGCCAGAAGAGCTAGACTCGGATTCGTCCTCTGACGAGTCCGAAGAGGACGACTCCTCCCCTCTCCCAGAGGGGCCCGCCTCCTCTCCTTTAAAAGGAGCAGGAGAGAATGTAGAATTGTCAACTGTAAAATGGGAAGGGGTCACTTTGACTCCTCCCTCAGAGCTGCCGGCCTTCAAGCCGCTTTGTTTCACTTCCACATCTGGCGCCTGGTCAGATGTTTCACTAATCGGCACCCTGTGGGAGGAGCCGTCTGAGTTTGAGATCCTGGCAGTCTTTTTTGTTCTGGCCATCATGCTCTGCATAGACACAGATACAGTCGGACTTTGTATAAAGGGCAAAGACGGGTCCAGAAAAGGGCAGGCGGCACTCCTAGTCCTAGATTCAGCCGTCCCCGGTGACCGGCTGATCACTAACCTAGGTCGTGTCGTGTGCTTCCGTGGTGCCATTTCAAAAAATAAAGTAAAAGGGAAAATTAAGAGTAAGAGAACCGACGGTTACCTGAACGAGTGACGATTGATGAAGTTCTGAAAATCCTGTGCAGACGGCTTGTCAGAGCAGGCGGTAGGCAGAGAGGGTCCAAAATGTCAGAGCAAGTTCAGGGGTCCGAATGTTCTCTCACAAAGTTCTCAAGTGTGAAAATGACCGAAGTCAACACTCCTTTATATAGGCGAAGTGAGAAGGCGAAGAGTCACCGAGTGACACCTGTAGCAGGCCGACGCCTGTTACAGGGAAACACCTGTCACAGGTAACACGTGACCAGTCACGTGCCACCTGTGAGGGGCAAATGATTAGGGGATTTTGCTCCCACCAATCAGAATGCGCCACTTGGGCCAATCAGGTCCTGCCAAGTGTCCCCCAGTTGGACCTCTCAGGGCTTGCCACGTGGCACACGCTTATTCGTCCACCCTGGACCTATTATGTCATGACACGTGGCATACTTCATGCCTAATGGAGAAGTCGGCCACCTAGGCCCAACTTCCGAGGGAAGCCCAATCAGCCCAAGGTTAACCTAAACCTAGATTGGCACGTTTCCCGAGGTTATAAATACCTCCCTTAATCCTCATTAAGGGGGGATTACGCAGATTACACACATAAAACACTCTCACCTAGAGAGACCCAACCACTTTAATTTCCGCATTAATTACTCCTTAATCAAGTACTAACTTGACCGTCGGAGGCGGATCTCCAATCATCCAGAGCATCCGTTTGTTTTGCAGGTACAGGCGTCCGGTTCCAGTCTCGGAATTGTAACTCTCCCGCAGGACATCAGAAAACCCCGAAACAAAACTCATTCTAAGTTGTATCACGACTCCTCCTATTTCTATTCTTTGGAATGGAAATATTACGGAAAGCTTTACTCCTTCTAGTGGAATTAGACAAGGAGATCCCCTATCTTCTTATATCTTTGTTCTTTGTCTTGAAAGGCTTTCCATTATGATAGAGAAGAAAGTGAGTCAAGGGCTTTGGAATCCTATTAAAATAGGCGATGAAGTTAACCTTTCACACCTATTTTATGCGGATGATGTTTTCCTTTTTGGCAAAGCTTCTATGAAAAATGTAGAAGTCATTAAGGATACTCTTTTGGAGTTTGGTAACAATTCGGGGCTCTTTATAAGTCAAGCCAAGTCTAAAGTTATCTTCCCTCCTAAAATGTGCTTAACTCTCAAGTTAGCATTCTTAAGACTTCTAACATCAAAGGGTCTCCTTCTTTTTGAAGGTATTTGGGTGTCAATATTAGTCCTAATAGACTTAGGAAAGCTGATTATATGGACCTTCTTTCTAAAACTAAGGATAGAATAAAAGGGTGGCAAGCAAAATTTTTAAATATGGCGGGTAGGAATACCTTAATCAAATCGGTGCTCAATTCCTATCCTTTATATGCTATGCAAACTACCCTTATTCCTTGTGCTATCCTTGATGATCTTGAAAGAAGTTGTAGAAGATTCTTTTGGAACAAAGTGGATAGGTCTCACTATTTAGCTAGAACTAGTTGGGATAAAATTTGTTTGCCTTTGAGTATGGGAGGGCAAGGAATTCGTAAGCTAAGACATTGGAACATTGCATTTATGGCCGGCTAAATTAGGTTGGAGAATTTTAAACGATCCTAACAAACTTTGGGTAAAAATCCTTAAGGCTAGATATTTTAAAAACTAAACCTTTTTAAATAGATTCCTAAGTCAAACCGACTCACCTCTTTTGAAGGATATTTTAAAAGGAAAGGAGCTCCTTCTTCAAGACTATCCTATAGAGTGGGCAATGGGGATTATATTAGCCTTTGGTATCAACATTGGGTTGGGGAAAGACCTATTTATCTTTTGATTGATAAACCCATTCCGGACTCTATGGCTCATTGGAGAGTTAGTCACATTATCAGGGAAGGAAAATGGGATTTAACTAGGGTTAAACATATTATTCCAGATTTCATTAATACCCTTATAAAGGCTATTCCTTTACCTACTATTGCTTCTGTCAAGGACACTATCTGCTGGGGAAAAGAAACAAATGGTCAGTTCACTATTAAGAGTGCCTATAGACTCATTTCAAACTTCACTACTAATCAATCCTTTATCCCTATTAAATGGAATTCCATTTGGAGAATTAATTCTCCTTACAAGTACAAAATGCTTGCTTGGAATGCATGCCATCAAATAATTCCTGCTGCCTCGATTCTAAGCCAAAGAATTCTTGATTTTGATCCTTTGTGCACCAGATGTGAGATAGATAATGAAACCCACCTACACATTTTTAGATATTGTATTAACTCAAAGGTTATGTGGTCTCGAATTCTTAAAGGAAATAGGCTGGATAAAATTTTTTGTTTCTATACTTTCTATAATACTAATTGGACTTAATGGATTCAATATAATCTACTACTAAGTGATAATTGGAAAACAATCTTTGTTGTTGCTCTTTGGCATATGTGGAGAGTGAGAAATCAGGTTGTTTTTCAATTTGCCATGGTGCATCCCATTACTATGTATAACAGGTTCATGGTAGACTTGGTGGCTATTTCTAATGTGTTCCAGGGAAAGGGCAAGAAACAGAAAGAAAGTACTCAGAACATTCACTGGGATAGGCCTGCTAGTGGTTCTGCAAAGCTCAATGTTGATGGAGCTTGGAGAAGCGAGGATTCTGCAGGTGCAGGGGCTGTGATTAGGGATCTATATGGATGTTGGATGACTGGTGGGTCATGGAAAATCAAAGCTAGAAACCCAGCAGAAGCGGAGCTCTTAGCAATAAAGGGAGGAATATTGCAACTGATTGTTCAGAAAATACAAAATTGGAAAATCAAAGCTAGAAACCCAGCAGAAGCGGAGCTCTTAGCAATAAAGGTAGTTGATATTGCATTTAAGTTGTTGATCAAATTTGTTGTTGCAGTGCCTAACAAAATTGGCTGGTAAAGCCTTAAAGCAAAGTATTAATTTAACAAAACAGGATCCTTGTCCTATACCCAAAAGTAAAGCTACAAATATTGCAACTGATTGTTCAGAAAATACAACCAACAACTAAAGTTCAGAAAAACAATTCAAACATCATTGTGTCAGCCCTCCTTGTCTGGAAGTCAGCAGCTTAGCCCTCCTTGTCTGCACTCTAGTAGCATTGGGTTCAGGTTGGCTGGAAGAGGGGGTGGTGTGATGCTTGGCTTGTGGCTGCCCTTGTTGACTGTGTGAACCTTTCCTCTTACTCAATGGTTCACAGCCAGGTTGCTCTTGGGGAAAAGTCCTATTCCCAATGTTGTTTGGACCAGCCCTTATTGCACTCTGTTTATTAAACACAAATACCAATAAACAAGTATCAACATCCAATTTCATCACAAATTTTAAAAGAAAAGTTACAAATCCAACAGCATACCTTCTTAGCAGCTTTGATCTCCCTCTTCTTCCTTTGCTCAACTACCCAAGGTGAATTTAAAGGAGGCCTTCCTGCAGTTCTCTGCTCAGTTGGTTCAGGTTCATGTGGGCCCTTGCAAGTCTTGGGATAGTGGCCAAATCCACCACAAATCCTACACTGACTTTTCCTCCTCTTTCTTCCCTGCTCCCCTCCTGTTGCAGATGTTCCCTCCCCAGGTTCCAGCTTCCTCTTCTTCTGTTTAGGTCTTCCAGGCTGCTGTTTGAATGCTGGTGGATGAGGCTCTCTCATGTTCACTCTCTCCCAATGCTTTGGGCCTGGCATAGGTTGAATTGCAGGCTCATATGCTGCTCTGTAAGTGTCCATAGTGTAATAGGGGTGGACAAACTGCTCAGCATCAACCCTCTGATCCATTATGCATGCAAATGCATGAATACATGGGATGCCTGTTAATTGCCAGTGATTGCAGGAACAAGACCAATTTGGCAAGTCAACTAGAAACTGGTCATCATTCAGCTGCACTTCATAAGTGTCATCCCTGGCAGCTTCAATTATGCAATTCCTAGCCACATAGCTCATCCTCTGAAATAGCTTATGCACATATGGAGTGATGTTGGTTGTGATTTCCTTGGAGTCCTCCCACTTCTCATTATTTCTCCTCATCATGTACCTCCTCATCCATTCCATTTGGGTGAGGATAGGTTTGTCTCTTGCATCTCTGATAACAGAGTTGAAAGTCTCACACATGTTGTTTAGTAACATGTTGGACCTGCAACTGTCACTGAATGCATGTCTGCACCAGTGATGAGTGGGGATGTTCTCCAAATAATTGTAAGCATCCTCATCAAGCTCCCTAATCTGTTGCATGGCTATCTGAAACTCAACCTACAACCACAACAGGAACATTATCATGAAAGAATAACATACACAACTGTTGTTGCTCTTATTTTGCTTTTATACACAACAGGAACATTATTACATGAAGTAGGTACATGAACAGGAACAATATCATGCATTTACTTATTCAAAATAATTTAAGGTCACCTAGAGACTTACAAATGTTGTTGCTCTTGCAGCACTCCAAAAGAGCTCTTTGAAAACTGATCCAGTGAACTTCAACTTGAAATTTGCCCAAATGTGCCTAACACAGAACCTAGTCTCTGCATTAGGCACAACTTCAGACAGAGCTTCAACCAGTCCCTGTTTAACATCATCAACAATTACTTGTCACACTTCAAACAATAAAGAACAGGACAGAAAATAAGACTACAATAATCAAAACAATATTACCTTCTGCCTGTCTGACATGAAGGTGAAGCCTGCCCCATCTGCACTTCCAATGCATTGCATCAAGGATTCCAGAAACCAGACCCAAGTCTCCCTGTTTTCAACCTCACAAGTTGCCCAAGCAATGGGGTAAATGCTGTTGTTCCCATCCTTGGAGACTGCAACTAAAATCTGGCCTGGATAACCTCCTTTCAAGTGGCAGCCATCCACCCCTATAATTGGCCTACAACCCTTCAAGAACCCATCCTTCAAAGGCCTTAAACAAATAAACATCCTCATAAACAAGGGAGGCTCAGGCTTTTCAATGCCATCAATCACAACATTACAACCAGACCCAGGGTTGTATTTCAGTACAACCTTCCCATAATCCCATACCCTAGCATATTGCTCTCTTGTTGAACCAAAAATGATCAACTTAGCTCTACATCTTGCCATCCAAGCCCTGTAGTAGGTCACTTCTACCCCCAAGTCATGAAGCACCCTATCCTTGATTTGCTTAACCTTCCATGATGGGTTAGTTCTGAAATCCTCAAGATACCTCTCAGCAATGAACTCTGCTGTGACCTTCTTGTTCTCCCTGCTTCTCACACATTTATGCTCCAACTTCATGGTTTTTATTTGCCAAGTCTGTTGTCTTTTTAACTTAGTAGCATGGATCTTGAAACTACACTTCACTCCACCCCTGCATATACACAAAGGCATCCTACTTGTCTTTGTGTCAAACTTGCACCCACACCTATTCCTACACTGAATAGTAATCCTAGTAATATCATTGTGTAAAAAATAGTACTCATACCTATTCTGTATGGCCTGCACTCTTAAAGCTTTCCTCAACACTGTAGCATTGCTAAACCTAAGCCTATGAACAAGTACAACAGGCTTTGAGAAGTCAGATTTGTCATTAAACCATGGACTTTTGTCCTCTTCATCAGATGAACCATCCAAGCTCCTTAGGTCATCTGATTCTCCCTCAATTTCTTCTTGTAGTTGTACCTCATTCACATCCAAGTTATCTGTCAACCTTGCCTTTGGATCCTTGGAAACCCCCTCATCATGTACATCAAACTGCTTCCCAAGACTTCTTGTTACCTTAGCTAAAATTTCTTCAGAATTCTGCACAAACCACCTCTCATCCCCACTGTCATACTCCTCCTCTCCAGGCTCCCAAGTTATGTCAATCTCACTCCCATCACTTGAAGAAAAATCATCTTCCCTCCCAGTCTCACTGCCCTCACTACTATCCTCAAAAATCAATCATTTGCCTACAGATTTTTTTTTTCCCTTTCCCTTATCCAACACCTTCACACTGCCAGAACCCCTTTCAAGCTTAGCTTTACCCTTTTGTTTCCCCTTACTCAACAACTTCCCTTTACCAGGAACCCCCTTAATCTCAACAGAAACCCCTTCAACCCTTTCTATCCCCTGTCTAGATCTAGGTTTAGGAGATTCTTCACCCTCCCTCACCTTAGGCTCATTTTTGTTAATTCTTGGGCTCTTCCTAACTACAGCAGGCTTACCTGAACTTTTCTTCCCCTTTCTCTCAGCCTTTACTGGAGTGGACTGGGCCTGGATCTCATGTATGGGCCTTAATGTTTCATTAGCAGTCACAAATACTTCAACATACCCTTCCCCATTCACTGTCTCCAGCAGCCCCTTCACTTCCTCTTCATTTACTAACTCCCTTCTCCCTGTGTTAAAGGTCCTACCTCTTTCTTTATACCAAAGTCTGTAGTTAGGTGGGACATGGACATTAAAGTTCACAAACCCATGCACAGCAGCTACCCTCAAATAATGCAAATCTATCTTATCCACTACCACATCCCTCCTCCAATAACATAACCCACCACACCAACAAAGCAAATGCTTTGATTTTGACACTTGTTTAGTAACAAAAGCACCCCCTACTCTAAATACTATATCAATTAATCCATCTTCGTTGTCGGCCATTTTTCTACCTAATAAACAAATGCAAAGCAAATCAATAAAACCCAACATAGCTAACCCCATTACACAGTCAACCGCAATACTTTAATCAACAAAATCAAACATATTTAAACCAACACAATGACAAACCAGTCAACAGTCAATAAAATCAATGATTTAAACTAAATAATTCACACATTACACTAAATCATACTTAATTTAATCAAATTCAACTTTAATTACAAATTAACCCATTTTACTGTTCTTAGGGTTCCTAATTTTTTTTCCCAAATTACCCTACTACACCCACACAAATGGCATAATGCAGCACACAGTACTTGTTGAAAACTACCTTAAAGGGTTCGAAAGGTACCTGTATTGGAATCTTACTCCTGTTGCTGTCAAAATCCACGAAAAAGTCCAAGCTTTTTGGATGTTGGAAATGGCTGACGGAATCTCGCTGACTTGTTTCGCTCCAATATTGACACCTCCTCTTCCAACTCAATTTCTCAATCACAATAATCAGTATAGGGTTTGAATGTTCGCAGTAATTTTGGTTGTTCAAGATTTGCAGACGAAATTCAATGAAGCAAAATTAGTTGGGTGGTAATAAATGACAGAGAAGATAAATTCGAATTGAAGGGGATGGAATTTGGAGGGTAAACGACTATGTGGGCCCCACCAAAAAATTCCGTCACAGTTTCTGTTATCTGGTGGTGAAAGCAAAATTTTTATTTTTTAACAGGTGTTATAATTAAACTTCGAAATCTTAAGGTGTTAAAAACAAAATTAGGTCTTTTAACAGGTGTTATTTTCTAATTTAGCCCAAAGGCATTAAATTATACAACAAAGTTAACAATGGTATAGAGTATAGTAGTATTTTCTAATTTAGCCCAAAGGCATTAATAAAGTTCAAATAATTAGCCCAGAGGCATTAAATTATACAACAAAGTTTTAATAAAAATAACAACCAACTAATCAAGTGCTAAGTGCTAACACAATAACACATAATAAAAATAATACTACGTACATAACAAATTAACAATGGTATAGAGTATAGTAGTATACTGACCGTATAGTCTTCTAATGATTTTTCATGTTTTTTTGTTTTATTATTTTTTTTTATAATATATAGTAACTATTTTAATTTATTTAAAAATTATATAAATATTAAAATGCTGTTTACTGTGTTTACAGTTTGGTTTGGTTTATAATTTTGAAAAACCAAACCAAATCGCAAACCGTAATTCCCAAAAAATTGAAACCAAACCGTAAACCAAACCAAACCGCTAAAATACGGTTTGGTCTGATTTGGTTACGGTCCAGACCAGCCCTAGTTAGGGATTTGCCCACTAAACAAACGGGCGCGCCCCCATTGATCAGCCTAATTTACATAAATTTGTAAATCAGTCCTGAATTTGGGCCATCTTCTTATTTTTATATTGTTTGGGACGTTAGTTGACTTGGCATAGTAGACGGACGTTATTAATGGGGTTAGTAACGTCCTATTTAACCTTGACGTTATTAAAAAAAAAAGGCAAAAGCTAATGAGCGCCCCGGGGGCGTTAGATAAGAGAATTAAAGTGCATATATTAAAGTAAAATTAACATTAATTACACCGAACGACGCGTGATTTTGTCATGAATTCCTAACTTAATACCATTTCAACCAATATAATTTATCCTTATCTAACGCCCCGGGACGCTCGTTAGCAAGATCGAAAAAAAAAAAAAACAGAAAACACGAAATAAAATTTTTAATTACTCCTTGGATCTACATCATCTCTCTTCATTTGCATACCTCTGGTAGTCAATTTGGCCATTGAAAGAGATGACAGAGCTCGCAATAGAGAATATGTTGAAGATCGGTCACCATACAAGTTCGCCATTAGTTACACTACGATACATACAAATTCGTCATTGTTGTACAAGCTTGCTCTGAAAAACCTCCAAAAATTCTTCGAATTAGATTTGAAATTGATTTGGTTTTAATTGAATTGAATTTGATTGGACTGAATTAGGTTTAGAAAGAAATAAATTGAGTTGATTTGATAAAATTGATTAATCCAGAGAATTTGATAGTTTCTCTCTCCTCAGGAAACATGTGTTTTGATGATATGCAATAACAATAAGGGCATCGAAGTTTTCTTAATGGATCATCTTCGTCTCTATCATACTCCAATTTCTGCTACAAGGTTCAATTTCATGCGTTTTCGAACATGGTTTTAGATTAAGGTTACAAATTTGGGAAAGTGACGATTGTGGCTAACTGCGAAAATTCAAGTAATGGAGGTTAAGGACATTGACTTGGCAGAGTTAGTTTGACTAACCCCAACGTTTGCATGGTAATGTGCCGTCTTCAATGATATTTACTGTGCTGACAACACTACCCTCCATTAAATGCAAGAAAAGACGATTTTACCCCTAGATTTACAAGGTTTGTAACTCAGCCTGATGAACATGAATTTCCTCCTAAACAAACACCCCGATTGAAAATTGCGTTTTCTGCCAAAATCATCAAGAGAAGAGGAGAGAAGAGAATTGTTTATGGCAATGGCTGACGAAAGCCGCGAGAGTAGTAGTGAGGTTAAGTTAAATTTCATTGAGATTATTTTGAGGTGAAGCTTTGTATCCCTAATTGTTTTTCGATTATTCATATGAATATGATTATGATTTTCTCCCTTTTCCTTTTCAGCGACCTATACGAAGCATTGATGGAAATTCCTGAAAGCGAAAAACACCTAATTGCGACTCTCAAGAGGTTCTTCTTTTCCTTTTAATCTCTGCTTTTACTTCCTGTTGTTCCATGTTACCCAAAAAAATCATAAATTTCGATTTGATGACGATGAATTTGTATGCCAAATTAAATTGTGATGATTGATTAAGGTATTATACATCTGGGATTTGCACTACTTATTTCAAAATTCTTTTGTTTTCTATCAACAATAATTCTTATACTATTACAAGTTCATGGTGTTGGTGTGGCCAACCCACTTGAATAGAGGGGTTGTTATTACAATAGAAAACTGGGTTACTTAGTTTGATTATAGCCGAAACAAAATCTCTTTGGATCAATCGATTTTACTCGTGTATTATGAATTTTATGGACAATATAAGGTTATTTTTATAGGTGAATGAATGTAGCTACATATACTTGTTTGCCGATTGTTATGTATCTGGTTTACGAATCTCCAATTACTGCTGTACAATTAAATTAATTTCTTTCTTTCTCAACTTTGGTTCATACAATTTTGGTATCAATTATTTATATTTATTCATAGTTACAAGACCATGTATGTCTCTGACCATTTGTTTGGGTGCATTGCATTCCAGTTTGAGCCCTGAGGCAAAGAAGGAGTACCTGAACATAAAAAAGGATTTTATTAAGAAACCCTCCAAGGCTCCATCATCTCACCATCACTCCTCTCCTTCTCCATCTTCCAGAAAGTCCTTGGTTTCGCGTCTTTTACTACTAGCCAAAAACATCACGTCTCAGTATAACAATACCATCAACGACTTTAAACTCATTCACCTTGTTGTAACCACTATCTTGGAAGCACTATTGGCTACACACTATGGGCAAACATCCTTTCAACGTTGTCTCCAAGGGTGAGCCCTTCTTTTAATTCTATTCTATTCTATTTAAATTCAATCTAAAATCTTTTTTTTTTTAATTTCATTATTAATTAATTGGTACAGCCTCAATCATTTGATTTTTTATGCTCCCCTCTAGTTTTTGCCAGACAGGCTACCTTGACCTCGAAGGAGCAACCAATACCAATACCAATACCGATACCAGAGCAGCAAAGATTCCTTCTACAGATCAATCTTATGACTGTGGTATCACTAAAGATTTACCTCCAATAGGGGATCACCTATTTCTGCCAATGAAAATTACTAAGGCCCAGATTATCAACAGGTGGGACAACAGCACCATGTTTTTCCCCCTGATAAGCTTTTACTTATGTGCATTGGTCTATTATACTCATATGAAGTTATGTGTTTATATACTAATTGATTTTCTTTGTTTTGGTTTTTCATATACCTATGAAGAATCGTCGACCTTAACTTGATGAACCAACGACAAGGCAAAGAATGCTTTTTGCCAATACAAAATATTGTGGCTGAGCTTGTCAACAGCTGGGGCAACATCATTAATGTCGCCGATCTAGTTCAGAGGTTTTTTGTTTTTTTATAATTTTATTGAGCTTATACCTATATGTTCTATTATTATTATTATTATTATTATTATTATATACATACACTTATACTACCTCCGTAGCATTAGTTGCAATAATTTGACTTTTGAACTATTTATTCAACTTGCTTTGAACATATGAAATATTGCATAAGAAAAAAATATAGTCAATACGGATCTATTTTGGTTCATCTTGGTGTGTAATTTTTTTTGGGTGTGTAATTTATTCATAATTTGCATAAATGTATAATTTGAACACAATTATACACATTTTATAGAGGCCCAGTTTACCAACAATTGAGACAACAACATCAACGTCATCAATCTAGTTGACAGTTTTTTTTTTTTTTTTTTTTTTTGCTAAGCTTTTATCAATCTGCATTAGTCTATCACTTTTGGTCTATGTTACTTGGTCTCGAATAAAGTGTCAAATTAGACACGGGTGTCCAAGCCTCGGACTCGCCCATTTTCTTGAAAAAGTTGTGTAGTTAAAAATGAAGTGTCCAAGTGTCGGTGTCGGTGTCCGACACAAGTTGTGTCGACACGGACATGTGAGGTAAATGAAAGAGTCCGAGTAACATAGCTTTTGGTTCATGTAAACGACCCCATTTATAGGACTAAGTCTTTGATTGATATAATTAAAGTACTACATGGATGAAAATGTGTCTTGGTAGGCGTGAAGAATGAATTGTTGGAGCTAAAATGTTACGGGGGTAGTATATTGATTTTCTCTATGCTGGTTTATCATTCTCCAATGAAGTTACGTGTACATATAATTGGTTTTCTTTGTTTTGAATATAATACGCCTATGAAGTTTGATCTGGGAAGACTTGATGAATAAACGACAAGGCAAAGAACTCTTTATGCCAAGGAAAACTATTGTGGCTGAGTTTATCAACAGCCGGGGCAACAACATCAATGTTGCCGATCTCGTTCGCTGGTAATTTAGTTATTTTGGTTTGCTGAGCTTTTGTTTATGTTCTATTATTATATACATACACATGTATATTGATTTTCTTTGTATTGGTGTGTCATACTCCAATGAAGCTATGTGTATATTTAATAATTGTTTTTTTTTTTGTTTTGACTTTTAATACACCTATGAAGCTACATCTGGCAAGATTTGATGGATAAACCACAAGGCGAAGAACGCTTTCTTTCTCGTCTCAAAAGGTTAGTTTTTATTTCAGAGCTTTTGTATACTTTCAGTCCTATTGGCTTGTATAGCTTAGGGTTTTCACTTTTCTTTTGATTGTTCTAGTCTCTGACATGGTATGCGATTGAACACTGTTTGCTTTTTGAGTGGTACTTTAAGCCTTTTTGATAAAACTTCCTTTTACTAGCTTTTAAATTGTTGTGTTTATTTGATGTTATCATGAAGTATTTTGTAGAAATGATTGTTGCTTGCACAGTCATATACTTGCACAAAAAATTTAGACTGGTGATGGTTGGCCTTGGTTCTTTCTTTAATTCAAAGTACCCATTAATATTTGATCCTTCTCTTTTTTTACCATTGATTTCTTTTTGGCCTTCCAATTGCTCTAGGACCTATGTAACTTTGCAGTTTGAGCTCTGTTGCTCTACTGTAATGTTTAGTGTTTAATTACTTTAATATGGTCATTTTTACATATATGATGTCAGCTTATGCTTAGTTATATTTTTCAATGTCTATTGATAGTATTTATGGCGTCCACTATGTACTTCTACGTTATAGTTGATGCTGCTGGTCACTATTGACATTCCTAGTTTTGAGTTATTGATCCTAGTAAAGTCCACATCACCCTGTATGTGATTCGATCATATTATATGAATTTAAGTTTTTTCATCACTTTCCTTCTGCTTCATTATTTTTCCAATGATTTTTCTTAGTGTGGTTATCTAGTTACATGATTTTTTTTTTAAAAATATATAATGGAGGTTGTTTTTTTTTTTTTTTTTGGAGTAAAAAGAGTGGGTAGCTCATGCATTTTATAAAACCTCAAAGGCTCCAAGTGACATAACCGTTTTTTTTTTAGTTTTTATTTTTATTTTTATTTTTTATTTTTTATTATTATATATTTTCCCCTATTCTGATCAAATTTTCACGCCAAGATTATATTTGGAAATTATTAGTACTTGTGGATGTGTTATAAATTGATACACATTTCACAGAACTGACTCTTTTCAATGTTTTACTTGGTGGACTTCAGAATCAGTAGTGAGGCAATAAAAGAGTACCTGAATCTTACAAAAGTTTACACCTCAGAAACTGAAGTTAATACTCAAGAGTGTGACCCCACGGCTTCACGTCAGAAGGCTTCAACTCAGGCTGCATCTAAATCTTTATCTTCAACTGCTAAAAAATCTAACAAAACTAAGGCTACCTTTGGTGATATATGTGAATATTTCATCTCTTGTCCTGTGCTCCCAGGAGGGCTTGTTTTGGCTCAAAGTATGTACTGTGCTAAAGTTGCTTTGTCATTTTTCAATTGCGAATTGCGAACATGGTACAAATTATAAGGTCATTGAACCACTGGCAAGTGCTCAGTACATGTTTTCTGGAGTCCGCTTTCACAGCAACTTCATTGCTGCCAAGCCTGAGAAGAATGCCAGACCAAAGCTGTTCTATGCCAACTTTTGGTGTAGGAATAAGAGAGTCCGTGATGTGCATTGCTGCATTGTTAATTGTAAGCTCTTTGATTACATCAGATGAATTTAACATGCCATTGTTACCTGCTTTCTGCACATCTTACTTATGATTGGGTTTGATGGTTTTTCAGTTAAGAAAGCGACATTTGCATGCTGTGGAGAATGCCCTCCAGTACTTGCTCACTGTGAGAAGCGTTATACTGAAGGTCGGTCAGTTAACAGATGCATTTATTTGTCAAAGGAATCGAAAGCTAGAAAAAATGAATTTTGTGCAAAAGCTGCACTGAATTTTTTTAACGAGAAGCATGGCACAAAGTATGGGCTAGTGGAATCTTTGGACAGTTTTATTGTCCCCATAAACCTTGGTACATATCGATTAGGCTGTAGGTTCAAGGCCAAGCTTGAGGAACCTGGTGCTGCTGATGCTTCTTCTCCAAAGCTTTTTGCGGCTGATTTGGTGATGTCTACTGGCTGGAAGGATGGACAATGTTACATGATCAATAGTAAGATTATTTACTGATTGTCTTTGGTCCCTTCCTCGGATATCTAGTAATGGTGCATTGCATGCTTCTTATCTTCTGTATGCTTCTTATCTTCTGCATGCTTCTTATTTATATACGAAGTACGTGTTGAAATTAGGTAGGTGGGCATTGCAACAGTCTACCATGGTGATAGTTTGCCAGGAATTCTTATGCTTGCTGCAATTAAGAGTTTGCTACGTGGCTACCAGAAGATTGCATTAGTTTTCTTAACATGCTAATCATGATAGTTAGTATGACTAATTATACTTATTTCCCTTGCTTTTTTCCTTAAACATACATGATTTTACCTGATCCCTTTACATATTGTGTAGACTAGTATTTGTTGTTAGAGTGTCTCAATGTAAACAGTTGTAAAGTTTAATACATGAATACCTAATATATATTTAATTACAACCCATTTGATGATACATGACATGTATGGCCTGGAATGATTAATTTAAAGCGATAATGGTCATGAAATTTTATTCTTTGTAACTAATCTTATTAAAATTAAACATGGGAGTAAGATCTAATACATTTTTATATGTCAATGTTCAAAGTTATGATAACGTGGGGGGAAGGAGTTGACGACAGTGGTGGTTGTCGTAATAGGAAAGTGGATGGCATCAAGAAGTGAATGTAACTCCCATTCCTTAAACATAAAGAAAGCTCGAATAGAATTACAATGAATATTAGCAAAAGAGTTCTTAAAAATAACTGCATTACGATGTTTCCAAATACTCCAAAATAAGATAGCTATATTAGAAAGGAGTGTAGGAGAAGTACTTTAAGAAAGCGAAGGGATGCGGCCAAGCCACTTAAAGACAGACGAAGAAGATCAAAGTCCCATAAAAAAGGGCAAAAAAGGAAAAGAGATCCTAAGATTCAGAATGTTTAAAAGATACAATTAGATTTGGGCTAAATCTTAATTTTTATTATTATTATTATTTTTTTTGAAAAGTAGTAATTCTATGAAGTAATTTTTTTTAAAACGAAACAAAACTAAAAATTGGTTGAGCAAACAAATTGATTGATTCTGATTTAGAGGATATTTATCGATGATGATACAAATAAAGTACGTATGTAGTAATTATTTTAAAAATTTAGGTCAATGTAAATAAAAGAGCATACTTAGGTAATTAATGTAATGCTGATTTTAAAATATGCTATATTGCTATCATATCGTCTTTTTGGAGTAGAGATTTTCTTATTTCACACCCTCCCAAGAGTCTAACTTGCAATTTTGAAAGGATGGTCAGAATTGGTTTGTGAGGATTTCACAAAAAAAAAATTAAAAAAAAATGATTCCTTATCAATTAAAAACAAGAGTAATTATATATTCCATACAATAATAATCAATAAATTTTAGAGTGTATGAATATAATTTCTCTAAACAATACTGTATTATTGAATTGTCACCTTCAACAACTTATAATGTTATAGCTTTAGCTTTTTGGATATTCATTATTATCAGAGTGGGGTATTTAATATTATCAATCTAATTTCATCTAAAATCTTTAATCTTTTTCCCTACAAAAAAATTCAATTCTCATTTGTATTTTGTATTCTCTTTGATAGAGTTTAAAACATATTCTTGACCCTCAACCATAAGCTTAGGAATATGTTTCATATTCTATCACTCTTTTAATCAACAAAACTACATAGTACTTTTTTTTTTTTTTTTTTTAAATTATGTTAAATCAACCAAATTATATTATCTTTTAATTTATTAAACAAGCAAATATGGGTTTATTGTTAAAAGGACAATGACTCGATGCCATTCATATTTACTAATCAATTATTGTCTTCGTCTCTATTTTTTTTTTCCATTTTTAATACTTGGGTTAAAATTTAAACCATAAACTCTTATTAATCTATAAGAGATTATATAGTTATGTGAAATTCTGTTACATTAATTTCATTGTATAATTTATGAATATCAAGTTTTTATAGTTTTTATCCGTATAAAAATAAAGATGTACACTTGTACGTTTTTAAGACGCGTGTTAAACATTGTAAAAATTCAAAATTTTTTTTTTAAAAAATATAATAATAAAATAATATTACAGAAATATGATAGTGGAATAGTGGGGTATCAGGTATGGTGTGACATTAAGGACATGTTTGGCTTGGTGTCCACTAAAAGGCAAATTGGGTAGACGAAAGACGATAGTCCCACACTTTTTGGTGGAGACTTTACAAACAATCCAAACAACTTTTGTCAGCCTTTTTTTTTACAGTTGAAAATTCCCGCGAGAATTCGTTACCCTTTACTCCTTTAGGGCTTTAGTCTTTACAACAGAAGATAGCATTGTTAGAGTGACGTGAACACCACCCTAACATTTTTAAATACATTGTTAGAATTCGTTACCCTTTACTCCTTTAGTCTTCGTATTTCTTCTCTAAATTAGTAAATTATCATCATTATAAATTAAGATTAACAATCACTCGTATATAAATTATTATATAATTTATCCCTTTATTTTACATTCATCACGTCTTAAGAGATGAATTTGAAGTAAAGAGAAATGAAGAAGATTGAGAATTATTTTTCTCCGAGCATAAACATAAATTTTTGTGATGAAGACAAATAAAGGGGTAATTAACTAATCACAATAATACTCCTTACATTTATGACATGTTAAGTTGATAGTTAACGTCCATGACGATATATTTTCTTTACATGGAAAATATAAAACTCTACCAATAAAATGAGCTCTTTCCCAAAATAATGTCAAGAAAAACCTCAATTCCCAAATTACAGCCACTTCTTTACATTTTCCCAATCTACCGTCCACGTAAGCATTGGGTAAAAAAACCGGGTTTTTTTTTTCCGGTCCAGGGAAAACCGCTACTTCAAGTAGCGGTTTCTAAAAACAAAACCGCTACTTCAAGTAGCGGTTTTTGTTGTGAATTGTTTTCACTTAATAAACCGCCACTTGAAGTAGCGGTTTTTATTGAGTATACCGCTACTTGAAGTAGCGGTTTTGTAAAAAAACTGGTCAAAAAAAATTCCAACTGAACCGGTGACGTGGACGGTAAAGTGGGAATATATAAAAGAGTGGCTGCATTTAGGGAATTACGCGAATTCCTAACCTTGTTTAGGTAAAGCGCTCCAATAAAATCTAAGTGATTGTACAATTTAATAATATGTCATTAAAATCAATTGGTTTGCCAACTTGGTGATATTATTAATGTCGATGTATTGCAATTTATGTACCTAATTTCCGATAATATACTTCTTATGCATTAGAAATGAATGTGTACTATTGTACATGTTTTAATTGTAGTTGATTTTATCATGATTTTTGCTAATGTGGAATATTCTTACTAACATTTTGTACTTGTTATTACTTCACTTTAACAATCTCCACATATCCTCAAATCTACAATTGTACTCATGTTACTATTTGTAGAACCTTCCAAGTTTATGATAAGAGTATCCAAAGCTTACATATACCATTTAAAAATAAAAAATAAAAAAAATAATTTTCACCAATTCATATGAATCTTAATATTTTGCACAAATTCTTATATGTGACCGGTCACATCGTGTAATAAACCATTTTATGAATCACTTCGCTAGTGTTATAGGGGTTAGGTCAATGTTACTGCCTTACAGGGGTTCCTTCGTTATTGTTACTCGATCAGTGTTATAAGCGTTACTCGATCAGTGATATGGGGGATAGACAAGTTGTCATATGTTCACAAGTTGGAAGATAAGACACATTTGTGTTATAGAGGTTACTTTGTTTTTTACAAGTTGTCATATGTTCACAAGACATATTTTGTATGGAATATTTTTTTAAAAAAATAAATTACTTAACTTTATTTTTTATAATAATATAAAAAAGAAAGAGTAATTTGAAGGAGGAGGGAATCCGATAGCGTGTAGAGAGAGAAAGAGGGAAAGGAAAAATAAAGAGTGCGTGTTGGCAAGCAACTAAGCATAGCTCAGATCTCTTTCCTACCATACTCTGTTATTTTATATTCTTCCTTTTTTTCCTCCCAAAAAAAAAACATTTTCATATCAAAATACAGAAATTCTATATTTCCATTTATACATATATCATACACATAAATTTATTAAACTTCTCCCATCCCAAAGAAGATTTATACAAATTTATGTCATTTGGGAGAAAATGGCAAATACCCAATTTGTATTTATTTGAAAATTTCAAAATTCTGGGATTATTTCTCTTTATTTCTGGAAAAAGAAACAAATTTTGCAGCTCATTTCTTATCTTTTTCATGTGGTTTTGATGCTAAGCTGTAAAAAAAGTGATTCAAGATAATAAAAAGAAAGGAGGACCCATTTGTATTTGGGGGGTCTTCTTTTACAATTCTTCCAAGTTTATCATTTTCTCTCTCCAATTTTTTGTGGTTGGTGTAATTTTACAGGAATTTTGTTGCCCAGATTACTCTTTTTCTGTCAGCTGAAGATAGGTGTTTTGCCTCCTTGTAAGTTATTAACTTTGTAAGTATTATGTTCAATTAATTGATTTTGTGAGCTCATTTTAGTTTATTGTATTTATGCAATTGAATATGCTTGATTATGATTCTGATGATGTGATGGTATAATAATTTCTAAATATTGACAGTTGGAAACACAAAATTTGTGGGATTTTAAATGGGTTTTCTAGCTTGTAAGAGATAATGCTGATACAAATTCTTCCTGCATTTTTGAATTAGTTGATGCTCTCTCCATTCCTAAACTGTGATTACTCCTATTATAATCTAGAACTTTCGGATTTTCAAGATCGAACTTTGACCAATAATTTCTCTCAAAATATATAGAGTAAAACTGCTAAGAATATGTAATTTGTTAGATAAGTATGAAGTATATCTAAGAAAGGTGTAGTATATCTAAGAAAGGAATGATCTAGTGTTGTGGAACTGAAACTTTTGTGAATTTGGGTTGGTAGGTCTGCAATGGGGAAGTCAAGTGGGAAGAAGAAAAAACAAATTGGGGAGAAATCAGGAGATTTGACCCAAAAGCAAACTAGATCAGTAGATAACAGCCCGAGGGCGTATGATAAGGATACAGAAGTTTTCATTGCCATGGCTCAGGAGTTGAAGGATGAGGGTAACAGATTGTTTCAAGGGAGGGACTCTGAAGGAGCCCTGTTGAAGTATGAAAAGGCGGTCAAGTTGCTACCGAGGAATCACATTGATGTAGCTTATCTTCGCAGCAACATGGCTGCTTGTTATATGCAAATGGGTATTAGTGATTATCCTCGAGCTGTTCATGAATGTAATTTAGCTCTAGAAGTTACTCCAAAGTACAGCAAGGCTCTTATAAAAAGGGCTAGGTGTTATGAGGGGCTCAACAGGTTGGAGTTGGCTTTAAGGGATTTGAATGCAGTTCTATCCATGGAGCCGAACAATTTAACAGCCTTGGAGATAGCGGAGAGGGTGAAGCAGACTTTAGAAAGTAGAGGTGATAGGGTATTTGACCATCCTCTTCCTGAGTATATTGAATCTCCTAGTGTTCCAGCTTCACAGCCTCTATCCAAAGCAGTAAAAGAGAAATCTAAGAAGAAAAATAACTCGAAATATGAGGAGGAGAAGGTAGAAGATGACGGAAAATGCTTGGAGGACATATTGGAAAAGAAAACAGAAAACAAGAAGACAGTTGCTGTTAAAGAAGATAAAAAAGCCAGATCCCAAGAAAAGAAGAAGGCATTGAAGACCAATGTACAAACAAAAGCAGAAGATAGTCAGCAGAGAGAAGTTGAGGATCTGTTAGAGAAGAAAACTGAGGATAAGGTGGTGGTTGAGGAGAAGATGTCTTATGCAAATGAAGACGAGCCAAAGAATAATGTGAAATTGGTTTTTGGAGAGGATATCAGGTGGGCACAACTGCCTGTGAATTGTAGTCTCTTGAAATTGAGGGAGGTCATACAGGATAGGTTTCCAACATCAAAGGCAGTTCTTGTCAAATACAAAGATCATGAGGGTGACATGATAACTATTACCACCAGTGATGAGCTAAGATTGGCTGAAGCATCTGCCGGCCCCCAAGGTTCTGTGAAGATTTACATAGTAGAAGTTAGTCCAGAGCATGATCCTTTCTATGAGAAAATAAGAGTTAACGATTTGTCAGAGAACGGAAGTTGTAGAGGGAAAAAAGTAAATGAACATGGGACATTGTGCATTGAAGAATGGATTGTCCCATTTGCTCAATTGTTCAAGAATTATGTTGGATTCAGCTCTGATGCATACTTGGATCTTCATGAGCTAGGGGTGAAGCTTTATTCTGAGGCCATGGAAGAGACAATTAGTTGTGAAGAAGCTCAGGTCCTGTTTGATATAGCAGCTGAAAAGTTTCAGGAAATGGCAGCATTGGCACTGTTTAATTGGGGAAACGTCCACATGGCACGGGCAAGGAAGCGAGTACATTTTGAAGAAGATTCGACCCAACAAATTATGCTTGATCAGGTAAACATTGCCTATGATTGGGCCCAACAGGAGTATGAGAAAGCAGGGCAGAAATATGAAGCAGCACTTAAGATAAAGCCAAATTTCTATGAAGGTCATCTAGCGTTAGCACTACAACAGTTTGAGCAGGCAAAACTTGCTTGGTACTATGCAGTTGCAAACAATGATGATTTAGACACATGGTCACCAAATGGTGTCCTTGACCTGTATAATAAAGCTGAGGAAAACATAGAAAAAGGCGTGCAAATGTGGGAGGATTCAGAGCTGCAGCGTCAAAGTGCAATCTCCAGCCTTAAAAACAGCCATGCTCAGATGCAGAAAATGGGGTTTGATCGTCTATTTAAAGATATATCAACTATTGATAGTGAAGAGATGGCCATGACTATCAGTTCCCAGGTTAATGTTCTATGGGGTACCATGCTTTATGAAAGATCTATCATGGAGTTTAAGCTAGACCTGCCGGTTTGGCATGAATGTCTGGAGGTCGCTCTTGGAAAGTTTGAACTTGCAGGAGCTTCTCCGACTGATATAGCTGTTATGGTGAAGAATCACTGTTCTAATGATTCCAGGGTAGAAGGTAGATTTCTAAATCTTTTACAGAACTAATTAATTTCAACCCTTTTGCCATTTGGAGTGCTTAACTATGTGTCATGATTTTAGGTGTAGGTTTCAGGATTGACGAGATTGTACAAGCATGGAACGAGATGGATGATGCAAAAAGGTGGTACACTGGAGTACCGTCATTCCGCCTTGAACCATTACTGCGGAGACGGGTGTCAAAAATATATTATGCACTTGATCAGGCATGATTAAGATATTTCCAATTCAGATGCCATGAAGTATGTCCCAGAACTTAGGTTACTCCTGAAGTACCAAGCACCAATATTTCCAGATGTGTAATTTCTTAATTGAGGTGAGTTAGTGAATATGCCTAGCTTGTTTCATAGTTTCTGCATTCTTCATATGCATTGTTTTGTCCTATCTGATTAATTGTTTGTTTCTCTCAACTATTTGAAATTTATGAAGGTGAGGTTGCCTGGATTTGTATTGGATGAATTTATGGTTGGCTGTTGTTGTACTATGTTAGAAACAGTAGGTTGTCTTACCTGCTTATAGACATTATCATTTTTTTCATCCCCTAGCAGCTAGCTATTAACATGACTGTCCCAACAGGTAGCTTGACTAGAGTTATCAAATTGAATTCAAGGGCTATATGCTGTGATATTTAAATTCACAAATCACAACCCTATTGAACAGTTTTTAAATCACAACCCTGTCGAAACTTATTACTGAATGAATGTGATTAAATTTCGATTCAAACCTATCAAACAAGTCCAATGTTCAGAGACTTTCTGTCATCTTATAGAGAAATTGTCTTCAATGATGTTGATCCTGGTGTATATATGTGTACTGCTCCCATTAATAGGGACAGTGATTTGGGAAGATATCCACAAAATAATTCCCACTACCTCGGTGGAGATGAGCTTCCTTGAAAGTCTCAAGTCTCTTTGATGCTAGAGAAGGACACTACCTCATTAGATACCATGTTTAGGTCAACAAGAAAATGTGGGGCTGCTATAATAGGCTAGTTGTTAGTTTGTTGAGTCCGGATATAAGTTTGATATCAGTAGAGATATTGTTTTGCATAGGACAAATATATAGTTGTATTTAAATTTGTTGCTGAACAGATGAATTACTTGGGCTTATGTTGATTTCCATTGATAAATTAGTAGATGATTTTCAAGTATAGGGTATGCCTTGTGGTGTAACATGAAAGAATAGAACATACCTTTAAAGCATAATTTATAGCTGTATCAAATCCTTCTATGCTTCTAAGTTCTAAACTTCTAATCCTATATATTAGAGTAACTTGCCTTTATCTTATATAGCTGATTTCTCTGCTTTTCTTATGCAGGTCAGGCAATATTTTTTTCCGTGTGCATCAACTCACAGGGCCTTCATTTGGAAAAAGGAACTAAGTTGCAATTTTACATTTTACACACCATATTGGGCAGAGATGAAATAGTTGAAGTCCACTTATGGCGGCGTTTTGCTTTATTATTCATCACATTCCCAATGCAAGAATTGAAAGGCAATATATAATTCCTTACAGAAAGTACTTATCATATTCTTTCTCAGCTAGTATAGCTTTTGTATTTGTATTTTGAGCTATGAGGTGTGGCGAAGTGGTACTGCACACACACTCCCGATTCTGCAGTCCAAGCATCGAGCAGTCATAGTGACACATGAAGGAGGGCCAGCAGTATCTCTGGGCAGTAACTGAGCTACAACAAGGTTTTGCGAGAAGCTACTAATTTTGTGGCCAACAACATACCACCCCTGCCCCTCCCAAAAAAAAAAAAAAAAAAAATGGATTGGCTTGTAATTATTGTATACAAAATAGTGTCTGATGTCTTTGTTTAGTTTTATTTTGTGATAGTTTTGCCCCCTTGTTGTAGGAATGGAACTTGGCGCGCAAGATTAATGGTATGGTTATAGTTTGAAAGGTTTGTATTAGACAATTTTTTACTTAATTTTTTTGGTGGTTGTAATCTTATATCAATGTTAAATTGCCAATGTTGCTATTTAATGATTATTAACACGCTTATTTCCATAAAATTTAGAAAAAAGAATGAATAATTAAGACATGCTTCTTCTTTCTTCATGGTTCTTCCATCAAAGTAGGTATCACATAATGAAAATGTTTAAAAATCGAACAATCTTATAACTTATCACAACTTTACTTGTTATTAACTGAAGATTATAAAAAACATAGTTTTGTGCCATAATCTTAAAGATACAGCTTTTATTAACTGAAGATTGAATCTTTATCTTGTGGTGTACAAATACACACATCCATGATTCTATATTGAAAAATTTGACATCAGCATTATTTTGGATTTCATAACATTATGGAATGAATCTGGTTATATTACAATTGGATCCTGCCTTCTGTTTCTACCTCAAATTGATTTAAAAATGGAAGAATAGCACATCTGCGATTTGAATTTGTTGTGATAATGTATGCCCAATGGGAAGTGATACGAGGACAATTGATTTGGTAATAAAAGGCGATTGAGCTTACAATTTACGTATTAAATTAGTTGACAGAGTTTAGTCATTTTTAAAATAAAGTGGCCAGTAACTCAAGTAAAAAAAAAAAAAAAAAAAAACCCTTAATGTAAGGATTGATTAGGTTTTTCATTGATTGAGTTGAATTATATTTAAAAACTTTACATTCAAGAATAAAAAATTGTCTTTAAAGTATAATCATTATTTCAAGTGGTTAAAAATGTAAGTAAATTCATTATTACTCATTAAATTATTTTATCTTAAAATTTTGTGAAATGAATATAAGTAATAAGATTTGTAGGCCGTGCATCACACGGGCATTATGCTTGTTAGTATATAAAAAAGTACAGGGGTGATTGTACTATCTTAAAAATTATCAATTGAAGATTGAAACATAAACTTCAATAAATTCATAGTTTTGTACCATAATTAAAAAGATACAACTTCCATTTGTGTAGTGAAAGCATTATATACAGAGTTTAGATTGCATGGCTGTAATCACTAGTTCAGAAAAATCAAAGCTATTTACAATGATCCATCAAAGTTACTTTTCAAGATCTCACTCCATTTCTTAATTTTAATCTTAACTTAAAAGAGTATTTATTTCCCCCCATTATATGTACAATGCCAGAAAAGACGACAGAAATGGACTATTTACAGTTGCAGCTGATCTTATTCGGGGCGAAAGCTGACCAGATTAGGAAGGGCGGAGGACTGCAGCTTCCTTATCTCAGATGCAGTTACCTTGCACGACTCTAGTGTCAATGAACGCAAGTTCTTCAACAGCTTCAAGTGTTGCAGGCCATCATTAGTTATACGAGAATTTGAGACGTTCAAAGATACCAATGCTGTTAATCCTACACCAATGAACAGGAAGATATGAGAGATTCAGGGAAATGATTACAGCACAGTTTTATACAAAATTTAATATCCTACAAAATACGCGGGTAGATTTTCGTTTTAAGATATCCCCTCCATATGCAGTCAGTAGTCACGCACATAGCCATATACAGTATGGTGTCTAAAAAAAGTGTTGCATTGATTTATGATTGAATTACTCACTATGCCATCCCAACATAAATTAATTAATGGGAAGCACATAGATATGATGGAGCAATGGAGGCTTTGGTGAAAAGTTGGCTGAGATAAGTGGATGGCTCACCCCTTTAACTAGCATAAGAAAGTCAAAACAAGGGCACACAAACCAACCATTATGAATGCTTTAAAATTATACAAGTATTACGATCACATTTGGATTTAATTTTAATTTAAGTCGAACCTAAAGTGCAATTACCATCAAACCTATGTAGAAAAGTTGAATCACTTTAAATTAATTGAAACAAAAAAATTATATCCACTGAGTAACAATAAGACGTACCAGAAACCATTTCCAGGGCCTTGTCAGTGAGGTTGCCGTTTTGAGACAAATTCAGCAGCGTAAGAGAAGTAAGATCTTTAATGTTCTTCATACCAGCATCCGTCAAGCCTCCACCGCATATTTCAAGTGACAGGAGGTTCTTGAAGTCTGCAACAGCAACAAAAATTTAAGGTATTTCAACAGGATTTTATCTATACCAAAAGGTTTTTTTTTTTGACAGTAATTAGTTAATTACTCCTTTCCCCCAACACACACACACACACACACACACACACACACACAGAGAGAGAATCCCCTCTCAATAGGCCATCATGCTAGCACACACCTTTTTTCTTCTAACACACACTATTAGATTGAGGCCAAGGATTAGGGTAGCTGGGTAGGAGGAGGAAAACAGGCAAACTCCCCATTATCTCCACTCGGGCCAGTCCCAGTAAGTTGGGTCAGCTTTCACTTCTCCAAGTATTGGGGAGTGAGCAAGGGTGGGAGTGAAGTCAACAGATTTTTATACCAATGTATGTACAGAACACAATACAAGAGATCGAATATAATTGATACTGCCAATTATACAGCATGAATTCACAAGCACTGGAAAACTCGTAAAATCAGTTCAGCATGAGTGAGAGCTTAGATGAGATGTTAAAACATCAGAAACCCACATGCAGAGCAAGATGTGAGTTGCTATTCATGACAAGGGGGTGGATTTTTTCTAGTATACAAGAATAGTGTAATTAATGACAAGTGGATTAGTGGACGGAAAGGATTAAATTAATAAGGTGTGGTAATACATTAGTGTTATTTCCCAAAAAGAAAGAACAATCCTGTAATGGACAGAACCTTCTTTAAAGATCAGGATTCAGGATAATATTAATGTTGCTGTCATAAATCAGTACAAAACAGTATAACAAAAGCAAGTTGGCATGACTTACAGCGCAAATATTGAGTCCCTGAGTCTGTAATTCGTGCCCCAAAAAGATCTAAATGAGTCAAGCCTTCCAGACCTGCAACATTATATACAAGACTCCACATATAACTTTTGATACAGAATAAAACTTTTTGACATACAATTCTACATATAAATATATGCAGTAACTTCTAATATGCCAAGTGGCTCACAGTTGAAGCAAGCTGAGTAATAAAATACTACTCCGTATCATATTTCTTGAAGCAATACATTTGTTAATGCACACAAATTGCTTACTTGTCAGAGCAGCTAACCCAACATCAGTGATTTGGCGAGCATCAAGGTTTAGTGATTTCAGAGAACTTAAACCCGAGAGCTTCTTCAGACCAGCATCAGTAACCAAGGTAAATGACAAATTTATGCTCTCAAGATTCACCAGGCCTACAAGTTTGAAAAAGATTTAAGTCGGTTCTTATCAATAGAAGTCTAGAAAAAACATTCCCAAAAAAGCTGCCAATAATGACACAAGAATGATGTCTTACCACTCAGATACCGCAGCCCATTGCTTCCAACTTCAGTATCTGATAACTCCAAATGTTTCAGCAGCAAAAGTCCTATTCAGAAGAATCACAATGTTTAGCATACAAATGCTCCCAAATGCAACATACAAGATCTAAAGATCATTAATATAAGCCCTAACTTTAGCCATAGCCACTGGCGATCTTCAAGCATTCCAAGTTAATAAAATCAATTAGTTGCAACAAACAGAAAGAAAGAAAGAAAGAAAGAGAAGATATTGGACTTCATAGTAAGCAGCCAATTATCAGAAACCAAAGAAGCAAAACATTTGCACATGAAAAATGGGCCTCATTGGCATAGACATAACACTATAAAGGACACAAAGAGCATAATCCTAAAACAAAATGTAATTGAATCTCAACCCATTAATTTGCCATCAGCTATAAAATGAGTCATGAATCCAAAATTACAAGCCACAAAGGGTGGGTTTAAAAGGAGATTCACTAAAAATTTCATATGCAAGCTAAGATATTAACATGCAAGAATACAATACTCACTTAAACAGACAAGCTTGTTCAAGAGCGAAATTCTGCTATGAATTGATATTAGGGCAGGGGAAATTTAAGTAGTTGTATTATGTCATTTGGGTAATAACCTATCTAGTTCGAGGAAGAGCTCAATAAATAATTAGAGAGATTTCTTATGGTAAATATAGATGAGTATTTTGGGTTAGCTTAGAAAACAAAATTGGGAGGTTATCCACCTCTTGAAAGTAGAATTATCCTATACAAATGCTGTATTTCAGTTTATTAATAAAGGGAACCATCTTCTTCCTACTTTCAGCTATTAATGATAACTAAGATAAGTTAAATATAGCAAATTCCCCACAAGCATTAGTACAGCAACTTTAAATAAATTGATATTTAAATAACCATTTTAAAAATAACCAAGTGAACATCAAGAAACCAAGTGAACATCAAGACAGATTATAGGTGAAAGAACAAGGGAGAGTTAGGTCAAAGAACAAACCTGTCAGGTTAGCAAGTCCTTCATCACCAATCCTACAGGAGTCTAAGTTCAAGGTTTCCAAATTTGATAAACCTGAAATCATGCAATAAAGGAAGAAAGAAACAACCTGAGCATTCATGCAAGTCGCTAACCCTTCAAATTAACAAGAATAATGCTTTATAATTGGCCATATATGAAAACCTTACTGCATAAGTGCTAAGATTTATTCAAGAAAGTATGCAAAATCTGATAAAGAAGTGAGGATGCAGAAGTCTGAGATGTTAATTTAGCAACAAGTTTAACAAAATTGGAATTCTGCTTTTTTTAGAACCAAACTGAAGGTCTAAAGGTATTTTCAAGTTAACTAAGAAAATTTATCATGTTTATAGACAATCTTTTCCTTGAAGGAGAGCGAGAAACTAGCGTATTTTTATTAGTATTGGTTACAGGGTAATTCATGACCATTAATCGTTTAAATACATGTCCTCTCAGAAGTTTACATAGGGTAGAACCAAGGGTTTTTTTTTTTTTTTGGTGAAACAAACTAATTTAAGTAAGGGCCAGACACAGCCTCCACTCATTCACTGGCAGAAATTAAAAAGAACCTATTACACTCATTAGTGCAAGTACACACATAGAGAATGACACAAAAGGGGGAGAAAGTGAAGAAGCAATTACACCTTTGAGATGAACCAAACATGC